TCCAGTATAAATAAAGTTAGTTTAGTTTAGGTTTCCTCCTGTAGTAACACTGGATCAATAAGAGATTATCCTTACTGGACTTCTAGGGAGAACAGTTTAGAGCTGATAGAGCTATCCAGTATAAATAAAGTTAGTTTAGTATAGGTTTCCTCCTGTAGTAACACTAGATCAATAAGAGATGATCCTTACTGGACCTCTAGGAAGAACAGTTTAGTACTGATAGACCTATACAATATAAATAAAGTTAGTTTAGTTTAGGTTTCCTCCTGTAGTAACACTGGGTCAATAAGAGATGACCCTTACTGGACCTAACTGTAATTATTGAACTTAAACGGTCTACCTCCATTATCGTTGTAGCAATGTAACATATGGTTTGTTTATGGCAACGTCGTGTTGTATTTTTGGATCTCTGTCATGCAAGTACGAGAAACCCATTGTTGTCATGACTACCGCAAGTGGAGGCTCGCTGGTATTTCTTTATGGTAAGCAGGGCGCCTGATGGAAAGCTGCTTTTTATACCGACATTTATATCAATCCACCGTTTGTATTTTTCAACCAAGTAACATGAGGTATAATTTTTTGGCATATCTGTGTTGTTTTTAGGACTTGATCATTTCGTCAAGACCAGTTTCTCCGTGGCAATCGAGAGTTTGCTGTTCAGAATCAAAGACGTTATTTTTGATGGCCTACATTCGGAATACACAAACTGGACTTATCACGCCACGGCACTTACTCATTATAAAGCTTTGCACTTCGAAGGGAAGGGTTAGTTCCATCTGCATGTTTTACATTGGAATTTGCTAAGGGAGCCGTCGTTATTTATGGCGGGGGGTGGCGCCGAAGATAAATGTTTTTCTTGATACAAATTGTTCTGATTCAACCATTACAAAGTCAAAAAATATTTTTACCTAACCTCACATGTCAATTAAGAAATAATTAACCACCCCTGGCCAAAAACCTTCCCAAACGATACCGTCCAGTTGTCACACGTTTACCATTTCTGTGACATGAGTTTGACAACTGTTTGTGCAATTTTTTGTAGTCTAAAGTTTCATGTTGTCTGCACAAGTACTTTCTTTGGAGACACCATTTGCCTCCTGACAAATCGGAAAATGATCAAGATAGTGACTCTGATTGATTTACATATTGTATTGACATACGACTGTTGGCATTGCTTTTCAGTCTTCAATATTTGAGTGAGTCATGCTTTGGAAATGACAATAAATTTTTATCACCCAACCCTTGAGTTGTTTTGTTTTTCATTTACCCAACCTTTCACTCACACAAAATTTTGTTTACCCAATCCTTTTCTCTTCGGTGCTAACCCTTCCATAATTATCGAAATACATATAATGCAAAGAATGAACATTATTTTCTCACTCCGATAACTGCAGGTTGACCAGCATCTGCTGTACGACAGTGCTTAGTGAAAATGACTGACATTAGTTTTCTCTATTCCAGCTATTCCTATGTTTGTAATTTGGCTGGTGTTGACAGCGCTGGGGATTGGGGTGCAGTATAAGTGGACCAGTAAAGAGAATTCTGAGGAGACGCCCGAGTGTTCCTCATTGTTAAATTGTTGTCGCTCATCATCCTTCTCGAAATCTGATTATGCATGACATGGTGTGAACTTGGTTCGGAGTAAAGTTCCAGACGTGGTCTGTCTTGGCATTAAAAGTGAACTCGATTTTTTCACCATGGATGGGACACCAGTCCAGTACAGGTTAGTTTTCAACAGTACACCCTATCCCTATATGGTATTCAATGTAGTTTAATAAGGGAAGCACGCTTACAGATACTGTTGGTGCACTGCCCCCTATCGCTGAGTTAAGCCTGCTACAGTACCTACACGTGTAAAAATCACACAACTTGTCAACAAGATGTGTTCGCAACAGGCTTGTAGCAAGCTTATCAGCAAGTTGTAACAATGCTGTTATTTTATCAAGTTGCTACAAGGTTGTCACTCAAAACTTGTTGACAAATTGTTGAATTACAGGACGATAACAAGTTGTTGGAACAACTTGTAACAAGTCTGTTGAGCTCAACAACCTTGTAGCAAGTTGTCAACAAGCTGGGAACAAGCAGTGCGAACACATCCTGTTGACAAGTTGTTGGAACAGCATTGCTACAAGTCTGCTGCAGGTTTGTTACAACTTGTGCGTTTTTTATTATCAGATTCCGATACAACTGCACGGGACACTCAAAACTCGAAGGTTACTATTTACTTTCTTTCTTCTGAGTATATACACTACGTCCTAACATTACGTTTCGCAAAACTGTCATTTAGGGTACAAACTCTTAATATCTCCAATGTAAATTTATAAAGCGCTGTTCCCACCTCAACCGTAATGTAACGTTCCGTAGAATTTTATTTTGCAAGGATTGGTGTTTGTTATGCCTGGTTTACACTATCAAAGTTTCTGTGATCACAGTAGGAATTTTGCATGGGTAAATTCTAAGTTTTGAAGGAATGTTTGAGGGAATGCACTCAGTGTTTAAAAGCTAACAGTTCCCACAAACATTTCGTACAGATCCTTCAATACTTAGACTATTTACCTTCCCTACTGTGATCACAGAAACTTTTATAGTGAAATACCAGGCTTAAACTGGGGGTGTTGTTGTCGATTTCAAGTCACTTTTCAACGCGCGGGTGCCAAGTTCGTTGCAAACTTGCCAATTATGTTTCCAAGTTTGAAAATTGGGCGCGAACTTCGCAACAAAGTTCGCAAGTACATTTCAATGTTTGAACTTCGTTTGTGAACAAATGTTCATACTCGATAATAATAATAACCAATTCAATGAAATACAAACCTCCTTGGTAGACCACTGGACCAAGAACTGTCCATTGAATAGTTGATTTCAACTTGAATTATGAACATTTGTTTACAATAGTTCAAACATTGAAATGTACTTGCGAACTTTGTTGCGAAGTTCGCGCCCAATTTTCGAACTTGGAAACGTCAATGGCAAGTTTTTGGGACCCGCGCGTTCAAAAATGACTTGTAATCGACAATAATATCCGTCAACTCTATGTGTAATGCCGAGGAAATAAAAAATACCCTACGTTTCAGTACAGTTGTAAGTGGAAAAAGGGCTTAAAACTGACGTTTCCGTTTCTACATCATTAACACGTGAAAAATCCGTGAAGTATGTACGAAAACACGTGAACATCTGTGTCAATACACGGTGAGTAGCTTTGGACAATATAAATAGCATAGAATAATTCTCTATACCAAAGACATCGCAATGTATAACAATGCTTTATGCATTGGAAGATTTTTCCAGAACTTTTTTTTCGTTGCAGATATCGTTGACAACCTCACCATGACGTCATCGGGTGTAGTTCCATAGAATTTTGGCGGGAGAAACCATGGCAACGGTGTAGCTCTGTAGTGAACTGAGTGAGTGTATAAAATATATTGCGTAAACTTTTCCATGTAGTTTGGGGGTTTTTCTCTGTTTATTATTCTTGCCGAGATAAGTATTTGCCTTGCGACAAGAGCTCTGTTATAATCTGCGAGTAGGTCTACTGCTGTACGTTGAATTGTGTGTTAGCGGTGAAGTATGGATTGACATACGAAAAACCCTTAAAGTCTTCTTGATTTATTGTCTCTAAAACGTCTTTTTCTGACGGCGTGAGTCTCGCAGCTTCTCGCGTGAATTCTAGCTCGAAATTTACTGGATCTAAGTAGGTTTTCTAGAAGGAAAATAAGCAATTGTCGTGAGTTCTAAACCCCCAGCAAACCAGGAAACATTGTTTCTTAGCCATGTTTCCTGAAGGTGGACAAAGCATTGTTTCCTAGCCATGTTTTCCAAAGGTGGGCAAACCAGGAAACATTGTTTCCTAGCCATGTTTCCCGAAGGTGGGCAAACTAGGAAACATTGTTTCCTAGCCATGTTTCCCGAAGGTGGGCAAACCAGGAAACATTGTTTCCTATAGCCATGTTTCTTTATTTTTATACGAAGGCTGACTTACCCCAACTTTTGGTTTAAAAGGTGGTTGTATCGCTCTATTTTCTAGTCTCTTCCAGTCGATACCTTGAAAGAATATATGATCTCTGATCGCTTTCTCTCCCACTGAAGTACAACCCAGTCTTTTACTTGGGTCTTTCGTCATGAACTAGTAACAGCATAATAGCGTGAGAAATTATAATAACAGCATAATAGCGTGAGAAAAAAAAACACAAGGCGAAATTTTAGTATAGATCGCTAGCTGTGATGTCGTACTTACCCCTTTAAGAACAAGAATTGCCTCTCTTGAGAGCCACACAGGAAATAAGACTTCTTCATTAAGGATACAGTAGAATAACTCATCTTCATTATCGGCTTCAAATGGCGGTTGGCCAGCCATCATTTCATACATTAAAACACCCAGAGCCCACCAATCGACAGAAAAACAATATGGCACTTCTTTCAGTATCTAACGAACATAAAATATTTGCTTAAGAGACCAGGACCTAAAACAATCTGCTTGAAATACATTTTCTGCTTTTCGAACAGCGATTAGCGGAACTTCTACTGTTAGCGCGTGTCGATTTCTTGAAACGATTTAATTGATTTGTGAGCTCACGAGAAAATACTCAGAATGCTTTAGTTAAATATCATGGTTAAATATGTAAACATGTCGAAGTTGTTATACAGCCATATTCTCAAATATACTGTACATGTAACAAAGCAAATGTACTGTAACAAGCAAATTGTACTGGTACTGTGCTACAACAACTGTCCAGTCACACATATGTGATAAAAAAGCCGATATAGACTTCATAAACAAAAGATAATGTAAAACGTAACAGAACGGCGAACATGCAGATTCAGCCATCTCAAATAATGGTGATGTACTGTAATGTTGGGATAGTAGCGTTGCAGACTGCAGAGGAGAGTGGGCAGTCCCTCATGCACCACCCCATGGAAAACCTGCACCCCTCCTTGCAGATGAGACTAGACTACAGGTATATTGTACATGTACCACATCTACACTGTTTTCCCCAGAGGTCCAGTATAAGGACCATTCTTTATTACAAGTGTATAATTATCATCCTCCTACCTCGGGCGCAATATAGTCCGGAGTACCACAGAATGTACTGGTCATTACGTTGGGTGACATCTCAATTTTACACATTCCAAAATCTGCTAATTTAATATGTCCCTCGCTGTCTAGTAGTACGTTGTCTAGTTTGAGGTCTCTGTGAAGAGAAATAAGTTTAGTGTCATCTTCCGCAGCATCATTCTCTCACCAACATTCTCTGACCATCATTCTTCAGTCATTGCGATAAGCTTTACATTACCTACCGATAAATAATTCCTTTTCTGTGCAAGTACTGTAACGCTGACACGCACTCCGCAGCATAAAATCTAAAATTTAAGAACATTATTTAAGACTGCACTTGTAAAAATCTCGCAACTTGTCAACAAGATGTGTTCGCAACAGGCTTGTAACAATGCCGTTATTTTATCAAATTGCTACAAGGTTGTCACTCACAACTTGTTGACAAATTGTTGAATTATAGGACAATAACAAGTTGTAACAAGTCTGTTGAGTTCAACAACCTTGTAGGCTGTAGCAAGTTGTCAACAAGCTGAGAACAAGCAGTGCGAACACATCCTGTTGACAAGTTGTTGGAACAGCATTGCTACAAGTCTGTTTTTAAGTGTGTACCCTGCTATCAGGCTGGTATAATCTTTTAATTGAAATCTTGTTAGTCAGACAGCCAAACACTACAATGATTTGCTTTACAAATTTTAAGGTTTTTTCACCTTGCTCGTGCTTCATCAAACTTTCTTGATTTCTGTATTTGGAACATTAAGTCGCCACCATTTACATACTCCATCACAAAGAATAATCTTTCCTGTTGGAATGGAAATAATAAGTTATGTTAGATGGAACCGTTGTCAAGCCTGCTTTAATACGCTATCAATGTTTCTGTGATCATAATCAAACTTTTGCATCTGTGTATTCCAAGTTTAGTAAAAAATGTCTTTTAAAAAAATTTCTTACAAATCCTTTAAAAACTTTTTACCTATGCAAAATTCCTACTGTGATCACAGAAACTTTAAACGTGCATTTGTCCTCTTTGAATGGGGTTCAATTCCTTGTAATATGTCGTTGTCCGTTTTTAATTTCACCTCACAAACACACAAAGACTTGCAGCGTGACTCACCGGAGTTTGAAAACATGAATGTAGCGAAGTTAGGAAAGGATGCGAGGCTGCTAAAGCTAACACTGTCTTTTCTATCATAGTACACTCTGCATCGTCGTCTTCCATTATAACTTGTTTCTTTAAAACTTTGATTGCATACAGCTCCGTCGTTCCTTTCCGTTCCGCCAACATAACCTGACGAAATTTAAAACAGAATGTGACTCAAGTCTTATCAAGTACTAATGCCTGGAAAAATTCACTTCTAAATGCAACCAAGGCATTGTCTCCTAGCCATGTTTCCTGAAGGTGGGCAACCAAGGAAACATTGTCTCCTAGCCATGTTTCCTGAAGGTGGACAAACCAGGAAACATTGTTTACTACCCAAGTTTCCTGAAGGTGGGCAAACCAGGAAACATTGTTTCCTAGCCATGTTTCCTGAAGGTGGACAAACCAGGAAACATTGTTTGCTACCCAAGTTTCCTGAAGGTGGACAAACCAGGAAACATTGTTTCCTAGCCGTGTTCCCAAAGGTGGACAAACCAGGAAACATTGTTTGCTACCCATGTTTCCTGAAGGTGGACAAACCAGGAAACATTGTTTCCTAGCCATGTTTCCTGCAGGTGGACAAACCAGGAAACATTGTTTCCTATGGAAAGTGAGCAACATCTTTTAACCAAAGTAGTTTGTTAAGACATTCAACAAACCTTGCCGTATGTTCCTTTCCCCAACACTTTGAGAAGGTCGAAATCTTTAAGTGAAAAATGTGCGACTCCATTCATCTGATGTTTCCCTGGTTTTCTCTTGCCGCTAGTCTGTCCAACATTACAGCCTATCGATGGACTCGAAGGAAACTCATTGAAACAGCAAGGTTTGGTCGGGCTTTCTGGTAATGAAAATGCGCCTTCAGGTTGGGACATTGATTTCTTTAGTAGAGGTGTCGTCTCAGAGGATATCGATAGCTGGATAAAAAAAACTAGTTAGGCGTACTCAGGGCTTTGAGAATTATTCTGAGTAGATGGATGTGTTGCTAAAGTAGGCGGCTGTGACCTGTGGGGCGGTCTAGGGAGTCTTAAAGTCATCCAAATTAACTAGTGTATATTGATTAGATAGCAACACAACTGAGCACTGTAGCCAAATTATAATCACTACTTTCATTCTTCAACAAGGTAACTTCAAGATTTAAGATGGCAAATAACTAAATCAGTTTTATGAAATAGTATGTTAATACTATCGAAAATAGTCGAAAATAACCAGGCTATAAAGTAGACGAGGTTGAGGAAAAATAACTTTGTTTGAAAGCTTAGAGTGGAGGAAGGAGAGCAGAATTGATATTTCAAGTGCTAAACAAAGTAACCGGCGGCAAACCTTATGGCACTTGCTAGAGCTCCGGCGACCATTTAAATTGTACACTTACTTTCTTTTGCTTATTTTTAATATCATGAGCATTCTGACCAATTCTTGCGAGCATTTCAGCAATTTCTTTTGTCTTTACACCACAATTATTGCCAACGTTCAATTGGCATCGTTTGTGAACGTTCATCTCACAGACTACAAAAATATTTAGAATGGTATTATACTTCACATGATGTTGTATTAGTGTGTGGCAGTGATGTTTTCGGGGGGGGGGGGGGGGAATGCCATCCTCCTATTTTCACTGGGACTGCATTTCCCATGACAAAACTCAAACACGGGGGAACAGTTTTTCCGCTGACAGGAGTCGACAACACAGCACAGGCAGAAGATGTCATGTGTATGTATACAGCTATTTCAATTAAGGTTGTCCACGAGCAAAGCGGAAAAGTCGAATACAAGTGCGAAAGGCTGCTGGGAACTGCTTTGAAAATTCATTAATTTGTTAGTGATTCCCTGCAGCCTTTCGCGCTCGTATTCGACTTTTCCGCTTAGCTCGTGGACAACCTTAATTGAAATAGCTGTATATATGCAATCTGATGACATGTATGTTTCAGAATTCTGGGCCTCATCAGTATAGCTTGGTATACATCTAGATATGCGATGACCATGCAGTGCAACACAGTGACATCAACGCACCAGACTTGCACTGAGTGTGATGGGGTGAGTGTGCTGAAACGACCACAGGGGAAGTAAGCTTTGCATTAAGTGACCACACCCATTTCATTCCCAAGAGCGTTCCCCCACTTCTAAAATGCCAAAAACATCACTGGTGTGTGCTGCAGGTACTGTAGAGTATAGGGGTTGGTAATCATCAGTAAAGGTGTCTGGTGCTAGACAGACTATATTTGCCACACATGATCTCAGAAAAATCTGAAATTGCATTGTTCTCTTGAAGTGAACTTGCAAACAAGTTTTACATGGTTTTACCCACCTTTGCATTGAACACCCTGTCTGAATATACCATACAACATTGACCCACAATGATTACAAAATGTCGGCCTTTTGTAAGTGTGAACCTGGAATCTGTGGGGAACATTTATGGTAAACCTTGCTCCTCCGATCTAGAGAAACAAAATTAAATTAGGTATTTACATATGTACATAAAGTATATTTAGTACACTGTAATTCTTTTTCGGTTGAACAATGACAATGATTCTTTATCTAATTGTACAGACTGTGTACTAATCTCATACGAGGAACAGTGGAATGATAATGGTTCCTGACTAAATGTTACAATGCTCACCAGTTCTGAGGCTTCATCTTTATGCCCAGGACAAGCCGTTACCACAGATTCATGGCATCTTTTGTGAACAACTTTTGTACACACTGTAAAAAAATCAAATAATGTTTTGAATTTGTGGTGTTGAAATGAACCGCTTGCTGGAACATCATATCTGAATCCAAAGTCTCGGGTTTAACACATTACCAGTGCTCTGAGCTATTAGCATTGAGACATTCTCAGAAATAATATATGTATGCAGCACAAATTTGAATAAACAATTATTAAATACCTTGACACTGATAGCCTTGTTTTCCAATCACTCCCCTAAGAAATGAAAATTTATTCATTTTTACCAAGAATATATTAAACCCTTTAATGAAAAAAGCTTGGGCAGATAGTCTTGTCAACCCAGTGAGTAGCAGCACTCTCCCTTGACAAGTAAAATCATCTGCTGTTAGTCAGACTACTTAAATAGAAAATAGGAGGCTGCACTGCCACTTAAAGTGCTATTGTTTAATTTAAATAATGTTTATTTTCAGCTGTGTTTCAAGCATAATGTGTTTCATAATGTCACTCACGTATGCCTAAATACAGCTGATGGTTCAAGTACAGAGGTGTCAACAAATGGATGATGTCATTCAAAGACTGGAGAGGGAGGTGATAGGACGACAGGAATAGGCCTTAAAATTGATGTCGGTCACAGAATGTGTCCGACCCATTCGTGAAATTGTCTGGTATAGAGAGGAAACCACTTAACGTTCTGTCCAACCTAAGTGAAACTGAGGTTTATTTTGTGTCCCACACGAGTGTATTGGTGTCTGACCGAACTGTAACTTTGTAGCGATGGAAAACAGGCTCTTAAGTTGTCATTTGAAGTCTTACTGCTATTATTGGCAAGCTGGTTAGTTTTGGCTTGGAAATGAGTATGAATGACACAAATGATTTAATATCTTCACAACATTCCCTGTTCAGAATTATACATTGTGCAAACATCATACATATGTCCAACTCAAAGCCATCGTTTTGTCAGACTGCGCTGTAAAAGATATTTTAAGGCCCGGATGATGGCCTATCAAATCTCAGTGGGGATAAAAATTTCCTTGTATAAAATATCAATAATCAGGACAAGCCGATGAAACTGCCACTAGCTATTGTTATGTAACATTCTGCCACTAGCTATTGTTATATAAATAGTCAAAACAATAGAACTATCCAAGCAAGTGGGATGCAGTTTTGTGATTAACACACAAGTAAAATTCATATCCAAACATAAACAGCTTTAGCAGAATAATCCATTTTTAATTTTGTCAGCTGAATTATTGTGATTGGTTGATCTCTCGTCACATGACCAGAATAACATGCAATATTTTTTCCCCTAATAAAAATTAGCAATGTTTAACCCCTAGGATGAAAATCTGCAGGACATTGCCAGGAAATTACTTGACAAATTTGTACTAATTTTAATTTGCTGTAAATCACGAAACAAGGCAGTTTGGCCATTTGAAGTACAGTATAAAAGGTCATTCATAATCGAAATACCTTAACCTTTATTGGTCTAAACATAATTTTTTAACACATTCTTTTAATACATCAGCGTTTAAAATATTTACATTGTCTCGCAAAGAAAGATCGATAAAATTGCCTTTGTGCGACACAAGCTAGTTGCCTAGATGTCCTTTTTGATATAAATAAACAAAACATAAATCCTACAAAAACCCCGAGATTTTCCTCGAGAGTTTGAAGGGCGCTTTGACGCTGTGTTTACCTTTGCGAGGACAAGTATGAAATCGTAAACAAAACAGAATATTATGATAAGCGACTTAATATTAATACGAATTTATACTTGTAGTATTTGCGATAAAAACTAGCATGCTTTGGCTGTACAGGACACAGAATTTATCAATCTACACAACTTGAAATCCTTTTTACGAAGGATGTATTTAAGGAAGTTTATGGGAAGTTGCATTGATAATAATAGTCAAGCTTTTAGCAATGACAAAGAAGGCAGGGCAGAACTAACAATGCTGAATTTTGTGGCCACGCAAAATGCAAGAAGGGTTACATAAATTCTGACATAATTTTCTTTTGTCTTGGGCAACGTGTTTTATATCATGGATTAAAAACATGCACATTACGTGGGCATCTCGTTTCGGGCATGTGTATATAGTCTGAAGTCTGAACGACGAGGGGGAACGCATGTTGCGTGATTGTTGTGTCTGATTCATTCAGCTTTGCAATTTTACGTAATACATATTACATATTGTTCATATTACGACATTTTCGAACGCGATAAAAGCATTTGGAACGAATTCAAAATGTTCTAATTTCAAATTAGAACCCTTCGAATCGTGGACTATTTTCAGCAGGTTCGAGGTCTTCGGAATTGGGTAAATAATGCAGTAATTATACTCAATACAGCAAGGGTCTGATGCGGGGAAGTATTACGCAATAAAAACCTACAATTTTGCACGTTTTTTACGGTCTCTGTTTAGGAAACTAAGGAGCCCTAAGGAATTTTCCTCTTTTTTTTACTTACCAAATAAATTCATTGCAGTGGGCGCAAAATGTGGGTTGATACAGAAACGTTGCCATAAATTTATGCCCATTTATTTGATGCACCCTTCGCCTCATAGCCCCTCTCCGACCACGAGCTTTTAGAGCGCCTTCCTTCATCTTAAATTTGGGTCTTTTGTCTAAAATTTCCAACATAAAACTCGCTTTATTATGCGGAAGAGAGCATGTTGTGTAACTTTGTGTGTTCATCCTCTAATAAACTATTAAACCAGGAAACAAAGTATGTCAAAAACACACTGAGGGAAAATGAATAAATCAAATATAGATCTACGCTGTTATGACAATTTTATTTGGCTATGCTGTAAAATTCAGGGAAAATTTACTGCTTCAAAAGAAGGGTAACGAGGCTTGAATAGTTCGCTGCACTAATTACACTTGGCCAGTTCAAAACAATAGCGTAAAATACCTGTGCTCTTCGATTCCTTGAGTTCTATTTTAATTCTCACTTGTCCAGAGGGCTCGAGCTTTATCTAGTGGGAATAATATTTATGTGGTGAACGTTTAAACGCTTGTACTTTCTATCGAACCGCAAATCAATATATTTCGCTCACCCATAAGTAATCCGTCTGTGTTTCGTTCATGAGTTGCTCGAACGGCACTGTAACATTTGCGACGAACGGATCGGGCGGTAGGATAGCTTTATGAAACACTGTTAAACCTAAAATCTCGCCATAGTCTATAAATTTCTCGAACGCTTCCTCCCAGCGAGGTGTAGAAGTCTTGCCCTTCGCTTGCGTTTGCGCCAGGAATATTTCGTCGACATAAATTGATACATAAGGATCGATATTCGTCAATTTCACCCCATGATGATGCAGACTCGTCGGTTTTAGATCGCTGGCCTCAGATATTTCCAATTTTAATGTGCCACTAAAACCGACCATGCCTTAATCCTCACAACATCGAAACTTTGGACCAAAAAACAACTGTTCCAAATTCAATAATCACTTTTTGTTCGTTCGCAAAATGTTGATTTCTGAAATGTTGATTTCTCAAATCCCAAAGTCACGACAACTTTAGCTGCCGATCCCAGCATGCATTGCAAGCTGCCTCGTCGCTTCAGTTTCGAATAGAGATCAGTGGAAGAGTCAGCATTGCGCGAGGGGGGAGGGGGTAGTGACTTCAAAGGCGTGCCGCAGATTTGTCTAAAACTGTTAAATATTAAAATGCAATGCGGTCCGATGCGCCCTAGGTCGTATTTACACTCTGTCTGATGCCAGAGGATCTTATCATTTGTTGTTCTGCTCTTTCTAAATAGCAAATATCTGTAGTGCATTTTGGGCCGAGTCTACTATGTCGAATGCAAGATTATTTTACTTGCAGAGGGATGTCTTATGTTATCCATTAGGCTATGGGCCCTAATGCAACCAATGCATTTTATTTTACTGACAATTTTAAAAATGGTCTAATTTAGACATTTTTACCCATGTTGACAACCTATTGTGTGGCAGTACTCTCACCTTGACAAGTAAAATCATCTGGCATTAGACAGAGTAAAATAATAAAGTAGGGCACATCGCAGCTTAGGTTTAACAGGGTGCATGAGCAGATAGTTTGATTAACCCATTGAGTGGCAGCACTCTCCTTGACAAGTAAAATCATTTGGTGTAAGACAGAGTAAAATTTTGAAGTGGGGCAACATCCAGGTGCATTGCAATTTTATAAAGTGTCTATTGTTAAACTGCAAAAATTCACTCTAGTTTGTAATGCTGCTCTGTCTAATTCCAGATCATTTAAATTACAGGTGAAAGTTAGGGATACAACTACTAACTTCCCTTCACTTTGAAACATCAAAGTTCTCCTTGTATTTTTCAGGAGTGTTTCATTGACGATGAAAGGACTTCATGTAAGACTATTTTAATGTTTTAGTTAGTCGGAGTTTACTCGGACCTTAGTCGGAAGGGTTCGCAGGAAAAATGTGATGAGCTTGTAGAAATGTTTTGAACACGTTTTCGTATGGTTTTATGAAGTTTATAAAGTTTTAAGTAAGGTTTATTATTGTTAAATGTTAAGATAAAAGGAAAAGGATACTTGCTTAGGACAGATGTAAGCAGAAAGCCTTAGTTAATTCATTTTTGTGATTTAGTACTAATTTAATATATGTAAACATACCGATTTAATTTCATTATTATTTAGTTTCAGATTGTTGTTATTTGTGAATAAATCTTAATACTGAAATCCCAAGCGTGTATTGTATTATTGGATTATTGTATGTTAGCTCCAAGTTATCGTCGGCCCATTATCTGAAAATCTTGGTGTCTATTTAACGTGCTGATCGTGGTTTGGAGCTATTAAAGTATTAAAATGGATAAAGATAAAGTCAAGAATATTCGACGGGCTGCAAAAGGCACATTAACGAGGGCATTTATCGCTTGTAAGAATCTTATTGATGCTCAGCGCCCTGTTGTCGAAGTCAAAGAAGCGTTTGATGTTGTTAAAAATGCGTATAATGGTCTGGAAGTTAAGCATGAAGAGTTTACAATGGTGTTAGATGACACCCAATATGACGAAGCTGAGGAATGGATGCAAGCTTGTAACAGTGAGTACATGAAGTTTTCTATGATGTATAATGATTATTTGAATGCCAATGTTGCTGAAAAGGAAAATGATGATGTAGTAAATCAGGCTATAAATGAAGATGGAAATAATGCAAATGTGGACGGTGAGAATGATGAAAACAATAGTGTAAATGATGACCAGGAAAGTTTAGATATGCATGAGCCTGCTGAAGACAAACTAAGTAGTGTGACAAAGAATGTGAAATTGTCAAGCCCCTTTGCCATGAAACACGAGAAGCCAAAACTGCCCAAATTTGATGGAGATGTAAGACAGTACTTTATTTTCAAGTCAGATTTCCAGCATGCTGTAGAAGCCCACTGTTCTGAAAGGGACACCCTTACAATTCTTCGGTCGTGTCTTAATGCCCAGCCAGCAAAGTTGATCGAAGGGATAAGTTCAGATTTGAAAACAGCATGGAAGTACCTAGATCAAAACTATGGGAATCCAAGAGTGGTGTCAGACACAGTCACATCAGATCTAGAGAAATTTAAGATAATCCAGCCTGGTGAGGATTATCGCTTCTGCGAGCTTGTTAATTTAGTGCGAAGATCATACAATATTCTGAAAGAAGTCAAGAGGAAACAAGATATCGACAACACCCATGTAATATCCTTGATAGAGAGAAAGATGACCAAAGATGATCTTAGAGTATGGTCGCGCCATATCAACAGTCGTAAGTTTGAACCGTCAATGGAAAATCTTCTTGAATGGATGGAGGAGGAGATGACAGCCCGAATACGTTCTGGTGCCACAATCCGTAAGAACACTGGAACCAGATCAGGGGTAAATGCATTTGGTTATAGAGAATCGAAAGGGGGGGAAGTCAAATCGAAATGTTATGTTTGTCAGGAAAATCATTATGTAGATGAATGCAAAAAGTTTATTGATATGACCCCCAACGAAAGATGGAAAGTCGTAAGGGAGCAAAGAGCATGTTTTTCATGTCTAAAAAGAAGTAAAGGTCACACTGCTGTGAACTGTACTCGAAGGAAAGAGTGTGGTCAAGCAAATGGGAATGGTGACAACTGTAAGAAATACCATCACAAGCTGCTCCACTGCAACAACATCGAAGAGAGAACAGGTAATCGTGTCCATTCCACCCGAGATAACAACAGTACTACTATACTCCCTGTAATTACTGGTTTAGTTAAAGGAAAGGACAGTGTTATGTCAGAAGCTAATGTATTTTATGATAGTGGTGCCCAGATCTCTATGATTCGCAGAAGTTATGCGGAATCCTTGGCATTGGAAGGAAAGCCTATTAACATTGTGATCACTAAAGTTGGAGGAGTGGAAGAAGAGTTAACAACAAAATTGTATAAAGTTCCAGTGCACAATTCTGATGGGAAAAGAGTCCAAATAGTTCAAGCAGTTGGCATCGCACAGATTTCAGAAGACAGTCCCAATGGTAATATAAGCGAAGTCTCAAAAATCTTCGACATTCCTACTAGTATGCTGAAGCGCAAAGTTGGCCCGGTCGACCTTCTGATTGGAATTAATTACCCACAGTTCCATGCTGGTGAGACTAAAATTAAGAAGAATCTTGCCGTCAGAAAAAGTCCACTTGGTTGGGTGGTCTTTGGGACTGACTCAAAGGAAATGACTTTCCAAAACAATAACGTTTTGCATGTGCGTCTTGCCCCTCCAGTTGATTTGACAGATTTTTGGAAAACCGAATCAATGGGTGTTTCTCCCTCGTTATGCA